GACAACAAAATCACACAAAAATTATCAATGGAAATCAAATGTATCAACCCATGGAGGTCTGGATTTGGAGTCACCCTCAAAATTAAAGTGGAAAACCACACTACAGGCTGATTCAACTTTGATGTAATGTCCTTAAAACAAGTCAAAATGAGGCTCAGTAGTGTGTGTGGCCTCCACGTGCCTGTATTACCTCCCTACAACGCCTGGGCATGCTCCTGATGAGGTGGCGGATGGTCTCCTGAGGGATCTCCTCCCAGACCTGGACTAAAGCATCCGCCAACTCCTGGACAGTCTGTGGTGCAACGTGGCGTTGGTAGATGGAGAGAGACATGATGTCCCAGATGTGCTCAATTGGATTCAGGTCTGGGGAACGGGCGGGCCAGTCCATAACATCAATGCCTTCCTCTTGCAGGAACTGCTGACACACTCCAGCCACATGAGGTCTAGCATTGTCTTGCATTAGGAGGAACCCAGGGCCAACCGCACCAGCATATGGTCTCACAAGGGGTCTGAGGATCTCATCTCGGTACCTAATGGCAGTCAGGCTACCTCTGGCGAGCACATGGAGGGCTGTGCGGCCCCCCAAAGAAATGCCACCCCACACCATGACTGACCCACCGCCAAACCGGTCATGCTGGAGGATGTTGCAGGCAGCAGAACGTTCTCCACGGCGTCTCCAGACAGGAATGTCATATGTCAATTTCACTACAGAATGTGCAAAAACTAATGCTGATCATTTTTAAAATTACCATTCACTTGGTTGGCCTACATTTGTCGATTATGATGATGAATGATTTTGTAAAATGAGTAGTGACAATTGGTTGTATTCACTCAAACATGGCATGCTCACTCAGTAACTCTTCTCTGCCAAACCTGCTGGATTTCTCACTGTGCTGTTTGATAATGAAAGCAATGTGATATGGTATTTATAATGGCTATTTATCTGAATTTGTATGGGCTTGAGACAAATTATAAAGATTTTTTCATGAACCTTTCATCATCTGCATCAAGATGGGGTAGCCTAATTACCATTTGGTAATTGTGGTCCTCTGTAGCTCAATTGGTAGAGCATGGCGCTTGTAACGCCAGGGTAGTTGGTTCGATCCCCGGGTCCACCCATTCGTAAAAATGTATGCACACATGACTGTAAGTCGCTTTGGATACAAGCGTCTGCTAAATGGCATATTATATTATTATCATGATTAGGAGATAACATACTGTATAATCAATTTGCAAACTGGGACATAAAGGCTCACATTCCATTATTGTAGAGGGCTTGCCTTCTCGTGCGGTGCGATTGCAACAAGAAAGGGCAAGAGTATGTGGAAGGGGTGCAAGCAACCCCCTCTCTTGTGCCGTTTCTATGGAGACGTGTCTACAAACGCGCCTCTTCAAAGCACGAGAGTGGAGACAACAACCATAAGAGAAACCGACAAAGTTGGCTAGCCAGTTTACTTCAAAACTATTGTATCACACCATTTCATATGTAGTGGTTTTAGAGTATGTAAGAATAAACAGTATTTATGTAGGTGTTATATCTAGGTAAATCATAAAAAACGTGGTGTTGCAAAGAGTTATTACCTGACGAAAGGTAAGGTGGTTGTCAACTAGCTAGCTACGTTAGCTACTGTAGCTAGCTAACTAGCTAGCTAATCTATTTGGTCTGCATCTCGCTAGTGAAATGCTGGAAAGTAATTCTACTTATATACAAATGTACCATTTTGGAAAGGAAATTATGAATTTAGCATGCCTTCAAATAATGACAAACTTATAAAGAAAGAAATGTGTATCGAGTTACATTAGCTAGTTACAGTATGTTCAATATACAGTAGCTAAGCCTTTTATATACTCACTTGACACTCGTTATCTCCAACTGGGACAATTCTTGGTGGCTATCCTCTGCAATAACTGTCCACTGTCTGACATTAAATCCCAGTATCTCTAACAGTTAGTTAATCTCTGCCAGAAGCAGACTCAGTCTATATTAATGTTATTGATCACTGTCAACTTTACCTGCTCCCTCCCATTTCACATCTAGGGTGTATTTCAAAGGGTTTTCTGCTAACCTTCTTTTTATTACTCCCATTCTCTTCTTTCCTCAATAACCTGTCTCCTTTATTATATAGCTACAACCCTAAGAAACTGACAACTTGGGAACTTAATCAAAGTTTTAATAAAGACATGGTCCCCCTGCCATCTTTGACAAGTGAGGTGGCTGGCTAGACCAGAGAGGGGATATCAGCCCCAGGTAGATAAATAGTTCATGAACCTGTTGCCTTTTTGAGTTTATTACTTTTGTCTCAGATGTGTCCTCCAGACAGCAGGACTGTCTGTCTCACACAAATTTGCAAGCATTTACTCTCTGGGCTGGACCACCACACAGTCCTAGGGAATAGGGTTTCCTATGGAGGGACTAAAGGCTCAGTTTATTCACCTTCACTGAGTCAGTGTATCAGTATATCTTTCTTTTTTTATTCTCCTCTACAGCTGACGACAAACATCAACGGCTGGTTCGTTGGCCATGGCGGACCCAGAGACGCCCCGCTCGGGCAAATCATCGGGCATGTCCAAGCGCTCCAGCTCTGGCAAGAGCAAGAAGGCCAAGAACCAGAGCATCACGCCTGCTCCTGGGGAGAGCCTGCCTGAAGACCAGGAGAGGCAGCCTGGAGGTAAAGGGCTAGAGGAGACATAACCAATCCTGAGTGCTAGGAAGTCTGTTTGTGTTATCGTGCCAGCTCCTTGTCACTCATTGTCCACCCTCTGCGGGGTCGGTACAACCGGATGCATCCGGTTTAAAGGGGAAATGGAAAGAGAGCCTGTGACGCGACGTCCGCGTTTGGACTTTAATAAGGCGACACTCTTAACTCCTCCTCCACATTTACTGGATTGGTTCAACAGTGCAGAAGAGAACCTCCCTGACAGTTGATTTTTCTCGTCAGGACCAGAAAGAAAGAAAGGCCTGCTACGTTAGGTTACTCATTGTCATACCAAACAGGTTTGCCTTGAGAAGGACAGAAATAGAGTTGGCAGGATTACACAAACAGATCTGGGACCAGGCTAACATAACCAAACCTTGCCTCTAATTACTAACTAGTCTAGCATGTCACACAACCAGGATCGTGTTCAGGTGGGCGCAATCAACGCTCTAAACGTTGCACATAGAAATACTATATCATGGATAGAGCAGCTTGCCATTGTCTTACATCAGATAGCGCGTCGATTCCGCCTGCACTGATCTGTCTCGTATCTCCCAAAGGACAATGAGATAGATCGAAAGTAGTCCGGCTACAATGGGCTGTCTTAACATTAGAAAATGTTACCTAGGTGACATCGTCTGTTGCTGAACCCCATTTCTGCCTCAAAACAGTCTAAATTAATCTAAGCTAAAACAATACATCTGTCAATAATGTTGATGTTTTTTTGGCGAGGAAGTCTTAGTCACCCCATTTTACATCTAGCTAAGGATTATGAGCAGTATTTCTGAAGTTTGACTATGGGCACAAGAGCTAGCATAAATGTGTCCAGCAATAGCTGAGCCAGTCACTGAAATCATCTTTGACTGAAACAATGCTGCTAACCAACCAGCTACCTACTTAGTGCTGCACACACAATGTTGAATCTTCCAACAAAAGCTAGCTAGCAAGCTACTGTAGCTAGATCGCAGGGAAACATTCTGATCTACGGACTGATTTATGATAACAGTCAGTTCCTCTTAATTGTGGGGCTGCATGTCTACAACTTCAGCGTAATTTAAGCAGGCTAAGCAAGCTTTTCATGTCAGTGAAGGAAGAGCTAGCCAACTAGCTAGCTAGCTGTGTCAGTAAGCTAGCAAGTTACAACCATAGACATTTAAACAAAAGTTAGCTACACAGCTGACCAAGTCACTGCACTGGCAACCAACGTCCTTCTACAGAATTTGTGCAGGAGATCGCCACCGTTTGTATTATTTCTCTCACAATTGCAAACGATTAAATTACTGTCACAACATTTTTTATAATTTTGCTAGTTGTTCTGCCAATTTCATGGAGAGTCAAATGAGAATGCGGTGATATAAAAAATGAGGAACTATGTTTAAATTTTTTGAATGGCGGACGCTCAATAGTTAAATGTGAATATGAGTTCCACGTACTACAAGACAGATCGATTGAGGGAGGAGGAGGGACGCCATCTGACGTGAGACAATGGCATCTTGCATGATTCCTTTTCTCTACATAATCTGGAAGTTTATGTCAGCCTGTTCTCCATAATGTATTTATATCTGAGAAGGTTGTGCCCTGCTGAACATGTCATCATGAACCATGCAACCATTCAGCTTGTTTTCTTCATAATTCAAATGCTCCAAATGACTCAATTAGCTATTTGTACTCTCATTGATTCGGTTGCCAAAAGGTTCTTCAAATGACAAGACATAAAATAGATTTTACAACAGATACTTTTATCAGAAATTTATAAATTATGTAATTAAGTTATTACAAGAGCAGACGTTTATCGGCATTGAACTCAGAACCACTGTAATGACTGCACCCCCCAGAATGACAGAAAAGAGAATAGCAGAGATTATCTTGACAATGCAGTAAATTAGATGTAGTTATGAAAATCTGAGTCTGTCTGTCGCAGTAATTCCGTATGCTTATTGAAATGTGTTGTGTGTGTATGCGCGTGCGTGTGTTTGTGTGTGACGCACAGAGGAGATTCAAGAGGAAAGCAGCCAAGGAACACCTGTGACCATAGTAGAAGTGGACACGTACACCATAGGCCTGGTAAATACATCATGATACTGTATCTCCCTAAAGCGAAGGTCCTGTCAACAGTAATGAATTGATTGTCAAATACAATGCACCACCAGCAGACTTAGAAATGATGGAATCAAATTACGCTGTATCTCCATTGCAGATGAACACACACACACGCTCACACATGCACGCACCCACTACAAAATGTCAAAAGCCAGTTTTATGTTTTATCCATAATCATAGGAGAAAACTTTTATCATGCAAAATATGACTCCAGAGTCCACTCTATTGGACACAATGGTATAATTGTGGAGAACAGGAGGAGGTGATTTGTGAGCAGCTGGTCAGTGAACCCGCACAGTCACTGTCTCTCTCATCAATTGAATTAATATAATTAATTACCACTCTGAACACACACACACACCCCCCACACACACACAGAGATGGCATTTCCATGCAGTGACCGTAGCCCTGTGGAAGATGGCAGCAGCTGTGGGGCAGAGTGGGGGTGGTTGGTGGTGTAGCTACAGTGTTGGTGATCTAACTCCCATCCGCTACACAGTCTGCCTGCTAACATATTCCACATTACAAGACAGCAGAGCAGAGCACCACAGCCCTGTATCTATCTGCATAGTAATATGACCATGACATATTTGGGTAATAATTACATATTTTGGGGGTAGGCTGGCTCTTTCTCCTCTGTCCTCTCCATAAAGAAATAATACTGTGTGTTATTATTGCAAAAGCTACTGGGAGTTTAGAATTGCATGTAAAGGAAGATCGGATGGTTGTTGTTGTAAAAAGGGCTTTATGAATACATTTAATTGATTGATTATTTGCTTGTTTCAAGTTGTTCACCTTTCCCTTTTTTTTCTCCAGAGGATGCTGTTTAAAAACCGTGTGGCTCTGTCTAGCATGTCTAAGCTGCCTTGGTCAGAGGAGAACGAGAAGGCCTTGGATAAGTTCATCCTGGACAGCTCCATCAGGACCCTAGTGGTCTACCCAGATCCCTACGCTGGCCTCAGGGTGGAGTACACCATGCCATCTCAGGTACAGTCTCAATAACCCTTCATATTGGGTCAAATCATAACCTTCACTTGAGTCGAAGTTTCACTCAGTCATACATTGATGTCAATGGGAGTCTAAGTCAAAGTTAGACTTAAGTTGAATGTTAGGATTTGCTCCAAAGCAGATATCCTTAAGTAGAGATCTCAGGTAGCTACTGCCCCAGCCCCAGCCCTGTTCACACACAGTTAGAACAAGGGAGAGATTCTTCCTTGAGCGCCTTCCTTGTACTGTACCGTCAGTGCATTATTATTATTACAAATGATTGGAGCTTTGTAGATTGAGATAATGATGTCCCTGAATATCAAGCACCGTCTAAAAGAGACTCTGAGGAATTAAGAAAAATGTCTACAATTTTCAGGCAGCGCTACGCCACTTCGTTTCCTCCATATAACACAAAGGAGAATCAAAGAATGCAGAATTGAATTATGTATTTTTATATATTTCGCTAATGTGTTACCTCTTCAAATGTATAACCCACTCGTGTTTCCTGCCTCCCCACACCCCCTCCTCTTCCTTAACTTGTTCTTCCAACCATTGTCTGGTGCTCCTCTCCTCTCCTCCCCTCTCCCCCCTCCCTACAGGTGGTAGACCAGCTGGCCTTCTTCATCCGCTCTGATGGCGGTCTGATCCTTAAGGAGACGTTCGAGAGCACGGTGCAGTTTGGTACGGTGCGGGGCAACGCCACCGAGAGCCTGCTGAGGATGATGAACGGCGTGCACGCCCCCCAGGTCACCCTCAGCACCGCATGGCCCGAGAGCATCAAGAACAACTACTCCGCCCACATGCACCGCTTCCTCACAAACCTCACAGGTAGGTGCTGCTAAGTTACAGGTGGCTCCTCGAGTCGTCACAGCGCCACCTAATGTTAGCCTTCCACACACGCACCACTTCACCACTTAGCCACCCAGAGTTTGCACACAATTCCTGCACTTCTTCCTCCCCAACTACACAGAAGTCCCTCTTTCTTTCATCTTACAGCCAGTCTATTGTAGATCCTCCACACCTTTATCCCCCTCTCTTTCACCTCCACTTCTGTCTATTTCATCCCCCTCTCTCCCCACCAGGTCCCCTGAGCAGCCTCTTTGCACTAATATATCTAAAAAGTGGCCAGGCTCAGACCTAAAAAGCGGTCTTTCTGAGAGAGAACCGCAACAACAATGAAGGTGACATTTCTCCCTTTGACAAAACGACTGCTTTGACTGCAAACCATTGATCTGTTTCATGTACTGTAGCAGCCTACAGGGTCCTATTGTGCTATTCGTGCCTTATTCTTCCTCTCAGTAAAAAGGTAAAAGTTCTGAGTGAAAGTGACCTCAATGATGACACACGTAGTCATAATCATAATCACGCAGTGTTGTCAGAGTCACACACGTACACACACGTACACACACAGAGACACACACACACACACACACACACACACACACACACACACACACACACACACACACACACACACACACACACACACACACACACACACACACACACACACACACACAAACACACACACACACACACACACACAGAGCCAGTGGTGCGCTATGATGGTTCAGTTATCATGCTAATTATCCAAATCACTGCAGACTACGCCACTCTGTATACTCTGCTTGTAAACAGAAACTGCACACCTACAATCAGAACACACACACACACACACACACTAGTACTGACAGTAGTACTTTGCATTCTTTGTTTTCCCCTCTCTTCCCCCTGACTCATTTTACAGATCATATTCAGTCAATTATGTGCCCGCAATCTAAGAAAAAACTAAACATTTCAAGGATACCAAACTTTTTAAGAAAAGCAAATCACCATTCGTCCAGGGTAAACTAAACAACATTCTTCTTGTTGCGAGATATTGAAACTTTAAATTTACTGAGGCAAAAAAAGAATGATGTGTCCGTCTCAATGGCACCCTTTTCCATATATAGTGCACTACTTTTGAACAGAGCCCTATGGGCCCTGGTCAAAAGCAGTGCACTACATAGGGAATATGGTGCCATTTGAGACGCAACCACTGTGACTGCAGATGATGCCTTTAATACATTTGCTACATAAATATGTAATTAAGGTGAGAGCCAAGCACTGCCCAGGAAATATGGCCCCTGGTATACAGGTTTCTCGTACGCCTGGCCTGCTGCAGTAGCAATCAGGAAGCAGATGCATTTGGCCGGAAGGCAACGCTTTACCTCATCCTCTTGAGGTATCTTCATCCATTCACTTCAATCTGCCAAAGGTCAACTAACTGGTCCCCGGGATACATAGAAATACACAAAGTACAACAAAATATATCTGTACACATACATATGTATAGATACTTATACACGAAAGGTTTCCACTCAGACACATATGGATTCAAGCAGACACACACACCCAAAAACAGCATTGCTTTTAGCGGTTTTGTTCACCCCTCGCTGCTCCGAGTCGTCTCATTATCTCTCTTTCTGTTTTTGTGTTCTTACCCTTCCCATAAAGGCCAGAGCATCTCTCTGTTGTGCTTCCAGTCTTGCTGCGTGTTTGTGTGTCTCTCTCTGTGTGTGTGTGTATGTGTGTGTCTGTGTCTGTGTGTGTGTCTCCTAACTAGCCTCCCAGTCAAAGGCAGTACTGCCAGAGTCTCTGGTTCTCACTGATACTCCGAACTTTCATCTCTTTATTTATCAGGCCAATGCACTCTGTTTGGACACACCAACCACTTGTTCTTTCATTCAAACCATTTTTCTTTCATGTTTCTCTGTATGATAGTTTTTTTTGTTCAACCTTTCACTCCTGCATTTCTCGCTCAAGTGGTGGGATGTTTGAGGTGTATGGTGCAGGATGAGAGATGCGGAGAACTATTTCCACTAAGTTCTACTTGGTGGGCTACAGTAGAAGTAGTGAACATTGGTTTTGCCTGGTTTGTATCTATATACTAGATATTAGAATTTCATCTAAATGATGGAGGGGAACATGTTACAGTATTTTATAGATATACAACATCAGGCGTTTTCAAGGAAGTCAATTTAAAATGTTGTTGTATTTGCTGTATTTCTTGGAAATCAAATATATGAATGCTTCAGAATTAATGCTTGATCTGCATAGTTGTCAACACCATAATATGATTAGTTGGCGTTTCATATAATAATATTTGTGTGTGTGTGTGTGTGTGTGCAGACACCAGGTTCAAGCTGGTGGGCAACACTTTGCTTTATATCCCAATGGAGGCCCTGCAGCATAGCCCAGAGGTGGCCAGCAAGGACAAGGAGCTGGTGCAGAGACTGGAGAGTAAGACTGGGGCGGGGGAGTGTGTGTGTGTGTGTGTGTGAAGCTGATGGCGGCGTATTGTCATAAATATCACAACATCTCCACATTCTAATTCATGAGCAAAATTAATGTTACTCCTAATGTACCTGACTCTGTTGTGCTCTGTTATCCTCACCCTCATCTAACTCTACTGCCCTGCCATCTTCTGTCTGCTCCCTCTCCTTTCGCTCTCCCTTCTCTGCTCCTTTCCTCCCCTCTGTCCCCATCACCTCTCCTCCTCTCCCTTACCTCCCCTCCCCAGTGGTGATGATCCACTGGACCCGTCAGATCAAGGAGGTGCTGAATGCCCAGGAGACGGTGGAGACGGGGGACAGCTCTGGTCCCCTGGAGGAGATCTCCTTCTGGAGGAGTCGCTGTGCCGACCTCTCTGGGATCAGCCAGCAGCTGCAGAAGCCTGGGGTCCGCCACATCCAGGCCACGCTGCAGCTCTCCAAGTCCTCCTACGTACCCCCCTTCTGCAAGCTGACCAAGCAGATCCAGGTGCCAAGCAGACACACACACACACACACACACACACACACACACACACACACACACACGCACACACACACACACACACACACACACACACACAGCAGAGAGGGTTTTTAAAAAGAAGCAGACACATAGCCTGGTCCCAGTGTTTGTGCTGTCTTGCCAACTCCTGGCGTGACAGAGACCATAGGAGTTGGCAAGACAGTACAAACAGATCTGGGACCAGGCTAGCATGCATATAGCAGACATGGGATATTTCCTGATTATGCAGGAATTCTGAATTCTGACACTGTAGAGTAATCTATTCATAAATCATTGAAATTGAGTTCACCTCACCAAAGTTCACCTCAAACCAATACCCTCTATCCAAGTCCTACCACTCCGCTCCCTACTAGGGCTCTGGTCGAAAGTAGCGTACTACATAGTGAATAGGGTATCATTTGAGACGCTGTGTCTGTGTTTCTAGGATGGCTCTCTCCAAGCCCAGTCCAACCTGTCCTTCCTGTCCCTGCTGAGGGAGCCCTGTGAGGAGATGGCTCAGCTCAAGCCTAGAGAGGTGGCTCCCAAGCTGGCCCATGTCCTCAACCTCATCCGCCTCATCTGGGTCAACTCTGTTTACTACAACACCCGCGAGAGGCTCACCGCTCTCTTCAGAAAGGTAGAGATACAGTTGTGCTTTTGTATTGTATGGGACAGACCCTCTCTCTGTCCGATTCACTCCAGTGAAAGGTTGGGGTCAATTTCATTTCAATTCAATCAATTTGGAAGGTGAATTGAAAGTTCAATTCGATTGGAAAAATCGTAATTGAAAATGAATGAATGGCACTTTTCAATTCTTGATTCAATTGACTGAAGAATTTAAATGGAATTGACCCTAACCCTGCTTCACTGAGCCACCCAGTCATATCCCTCCCTATCAACTCCTACCATTTACAGCTCCTTCTGCTAAATATTCAGCCTATCAGCTGGCCCTCAGGTCCTCTCTCATGTTACTCAGCACTCCAATCAGAGCGTACTACTACTCCTCTGTTCCTCTGATAAGGCATCAGCTTGTAGTAACAGAGAGAGAGAGATCACAGCCACAACACCCCTTCCATGTTAGCCGTGTAGAGGGCCACACTAGTTTTATTATCCTGCCATTTTTATTTCAATCTCCTAGAGAGACGAAGCCGGGAAAAGCATTTAACCTCTCATAATTACGCCCTGACCTTCCCCTCTCCCGTCGCTGGAATCGTTTGTTGCGTTCCTCCCGACCGTATTCCTGTTCTAGTTCTCCCTCCTTTTCTAGTCTCTCTCTCCGGCCCTTTGATAATACATCAAGGAGAGAGACTGACTGGCACAAAACATTTGATTTAATTGTTTCCTTGGGGTTAGTGGGGGTGTGGGCAGGGGAGCAACATAACCTAGCTCAAAGGCCCACCAGCCACGGAGGTTTCAAAGGAGCCCCTCTCTCTCCCTCCCTCTCCTCTCTCACTTCTTCCTTCATCCTCCAGCTCCACACACATGGTCCAAAGACACAACTTTAACCCGCTCAAAGGGCACAGTGCTCGGGTCGGATCAACCTTCATCCAACACCTCTCACGGTTTCTCCACCAGCTGGAAAGAAACTAGTGTAACGTACAAAGAAGGAATAGTGGACCTTCTGTTCAATAATGTTTGGGGGAAATGAATGCTTATTTTGAATAGCAGTTTGTTTTAGCAGGGTTTTCTCTGTTTGTTATAATATAATATGCTGAGGAACAGTGATCAGTTCATAACTTCACACTGACTGAAGCGGTGCCTTGCTCCAAGCATCACAGATGGGCTTTAATGTCTTTTACTTCTTTTCCCACTAGTTCTCTGTGATTTCTACTATGTGATAGGGATTTTTCTCTGCCCTCCTATTTATTATTCCTACAAACCCCTCTGAAAGAAAAGCATTTTTTTTAAACAACCATTTTGCTGCTGCAGTGCGTCTAACTGTGCACTGTGGCACTACTGCATAAAGGCATTCTGTGTAGAGCCAGGAGTTTCAAGGCATCATGAAGGCATCATTGGTGACCAGTGACCTGGATCACGCTACCTGGTTCATAGACTTGGCTCGGATCATCTACCGCCCGCTCCTTTCGCTCAGCAACCGCAGAGCAACCCCAACCACCACTGTTGTCATTGGCTGTAACTCTAATGACCCCAAGTTATTCCTGTACCACCAGCTGTGTGTGTGTGTGTGTGTGTGTGTGTTGCTACTGCTGTGTCCACCACCACCACCACCACCACTCTCACTACGTTTTCATTGGTCTCATGGTTGAGAGGCTTTTCTCCCTCCAGTGGTGTAAAATAATAGGAAAGAAACGATGTGTGTTTATTTCAGCAAGAGAAGGAATGACGATTCAATCTGTTTTTTCTCTTTCTGAGAGCTGGAGCAGAACCAGCTCTGTCTGATGTGGTTTCCGCTGTGTTTGAGTTTTGGGCTAATCAGTTCTAATCAGAGTACATTAGAATCATGGTAGAAGCAGTGTGTGTTTGTGTGCACGCATGTATAGATCTAATGTGTGTGTGTGGTGGTGCACGTGTGTACATGTGGATGTCTGTGTATGTCTGCCTTGCCACCCACCCTTGCCTCTCTGCTGCAGGGGCCTCACTAACCATTTTCTTCATTTGTTGCGGCTTTGCTTTTCTTTGTGCTGCTTGTGAGAGAACACAACACAGACCCTGAGGCCATGGACTTATGACTGTGGTACACTGTTTCAGCTAATGCCCAGAGAGAAAAACATTTTTAAAAAACGAAATAATAAACCCCTTATAATAATAGCTGAAGTAGTGTGATCATTTTGGAGTACTGGTAATTGTTGAATATACACACGCTCATGGTTAATTAGTCTTACAATGCATCCCAATGGACACTGGTCAACTAATACACTAGTGAATAGGATTCAGACATACATTTTCTTAGTATTAAAGGGATAATCCACCCCAAACCACTAATTCCTATGATTAACAGTGTTAAATCGTGTTAAATAACACTAATATGTGAAAACAATAATTTATGTGAACAAATGTTTCATTTTTTTGTTATAACAAGGTTGGTAGAAACATTTGAAAATTGTTTTTGGAATCTGTTGCAGTTTAAGACTACCACAAAATCCACAATGCAATACTCTCTTTCTCTGGGCTGGCTGGCTGGCTAGCTAGAAAACATAGCTACATACAATAATACCAAGTAGCTAGCTAGCTGTAAAATCGCCCAAACAAAATGCACTATCAATTTAGGAGTCTTACTCACCGAGTTCAACTTGCAGTTCGTCTCTGCCACTGAGCTATAAACGGCATCTCTGCCCAGAGTGAGAGCAGAGTAACGTTGCTTTCCCACAGAGATACTTTTGAGGATATGGGAAACTGCATTAGAGTCGTATTAACGCACATTGTGTACGTTGCCCATAAGTCGTCAATGGGCCGCGCGGTGCATTCTGGGTGATTCTGGAACAAGGAGAGCTGTCCTTCAAGGAGTGAATGGGAGTCAATTGGGCACTAGCTCAAAAACAGAACATTAGCATGAATTTCGTGAACAAGAAGTACAACATTGCAAATACTTTCCAAGATGTGAGATAATTAACTTGTTCTCTGTAATATCGTATAGCTTTGGAAGATCGTATAGCTTTTAGAACCCTGACTTTTAGAAAGGATTGCGACCCTACCTTACACAGAAAGTGGCACAGGTCTTAATCCAGGCACTTGTCATCTCCCGTCTGGATTACTGCAACTCGCTGTTGGCTGGGCTCCCTGCCTGTGCCATTAAACCCCTACAACTTATCCAGAACGCTGCAGCCCGTCTGGTGTTCAACCTTCCCAAGTTCTCTCATGTCACCCCGCTCCTCCGCACACTCCACTGGCTTCCAGCATCTACTACAAAACCATGGTGCTTGCCTACGGAGCTGTGAGGGGAACGGCACCTCCTTACCTTCAGGCTCTGATCAGACCCTACACCCAAACGAGGGCACTACATTCATCCACCTCTGGCCTGCTTGCCCCCCTACCTCTACGGAAGCAAAGTTCCCGCTCAGCCCAGTCAAAGCTATTCGCTGCTCTGGCACCCCAATTAAAAAAGAATAATAATAATATTGGTGGAACAAGCTCCCCCACGATGCCAGGACAGCGGAGTCACTGACCACCTTCCGGAGACACTTGAAACCCTACCTTTTTAAGGAATACCTGGAATAGTATAACAGTAATCCTTCTACCCCCCCCTCCCCCACAAAAAAAAAAAAAAAAGGATTGGTTGTCCCACTGGCTATCCTAAGTTGAATGTACCAATTTGTAAGTCGCTCTGGATAAGAGCATCTGCTAAATGACTTAAATGTAAATTGCGTGGCGATTAGCTTAGCAACCGCGTGACGCAGCATGACAACGTGAATCCGATGGGTCGACAGTCAGTTGGGTGGGGCATTTCCTCATTCATTGCCAAATGGGATTTCTATCTCCTCCTTTCTGTAATATCTCTGTTTCCCACAGACACAGGCGCATTACGACATGGTACTTGAAGGAGAAACGAAGTGGAATAATTTGGTAGACTGTTTAGATTGAGCACATCTAAGCGAAATATATACTTTGTCATGACGATATAAATGGATGGATGTGTTCTAAACAAGTATGGCCATACCATCTATTGGCTGATTTGGCGATCTGGAGTGCATGTAATTGTTTTAAAAACGTTATGAAATATAATAATAATAATATAATATGCCATTTAGCAGACGCTTTTATCCAAAGCGACTTATCTCCAGTGACGAGAATTATGTAACTATGACGCGTTTCTACACGATTTCCTGATTTTCACAGACGTACAACTTAGAAGTTAAATCATTGGGAATTGTAATTTTTTTACCCACTGACAGAACATAGGCTTTCACCAAATAGACAGGAGTTTCATGATTTTTATTTCTGGGGGTGGATTATCCCTTTAATAATAATAGTCCCTGGTATGTAACGGTATGCTTCCAGTTTGTCAAGTTCTGGCAGACAAAACTAAGTAAACAGAACAAGGCAGCTGTTTTGTCAGAGCTGTTCACAGGTGTTTGCTCCTGCTGGTGTGCGGCGGTGCAGCCAATATTTTCTTACCTTTCAAACTCATTTCTGCTGAACCGCTGCCAGTGATAGGTCAAATGAAGTGGTGGTGGGAGGGTTCCTGTGGATGCTGCGGCTGCCCTATTGGTCAGTGATGGTGGAGCTAGCAATACTAGATCTGACAACAATCTCGGTTGTCACAGCAGTTGCCATCATTTAGCAGACGTCTTATCCAGAGCGACTTACAGTTAGTGAATACATATTTTTTTATACTGGCCCCCCGTGGGAATCAAACCCACAACCCTGGCGTTGCAAACGCCATGCTCTATCAACTGAGCTACATCCCTGCCGGCCATTCCCTCCCCTACCCTGGACGACGCTGGGCCAATTGTGCGCCACCCATGAGTCTCCCGGTCGCGGCCGGCTGCGACAGAGCCTGGATTCGAACCAGGATCTCTAGTGGCACAGTTAGCACTGTGATGCAGTGCCTTAGACCACTGCGCCACTCAGGAACTAGCTGCGTTCCAAACAACTCCAGTTGAGATCATCACCAAAAGAGACATAGTGGCACTTCATGGCCTGTATCGCCCTCTACTGTATTGGTCTGTTATAGCCTTG